TGGGCAGGGATAGCTCAGTAGGTAGAGTGGTGGACCCATGATCGGAAGGTCGGGGGTTCGATTCCCCTGAACAGCTACCCTGAGGTACCCCTGAGCAAGGTACCGTCCCTACACACTGCTCCCCGGGCGCCCAGTGGCTGCCCACTGCTTCACTGAGTGAATGGGTTAAATGCAGAGAGGGATTTTCCCCACGGGGACCAATAAAGTACACTTTCTTCTTCTTCTTCTTCTTCTTCACCAAGTGACAGCCAGCAACCTCTCAACAACAATACACATATTTGCCTAGCAACTGGAGGCTGTCAAGGGGTCGAAAACCAGTCTCTAGCCCTGTGTGACTGGGACCATACCAGACTTACTTTGATGACATGTTCTAGCATAAATACTTGTCAGATTTGGACATTTTTCAGATGCAGAGGCAGAGGAGGTTTATGTATGTCCATCTGTTCTTATCTATCATTGAGTAAAATCCGTCAGTGTTACTGTCCTGCTTAGAGTCACTGCAGCAGCTCCTGCACTGACAGTGAGGCAAAACAAAGGGACAATTTACTTACGGTGAGTGCCAACCATAGAAGTGATAAATAAAGGCAGCATGAAATCAAAGAAATGGGATCAGGTGGAAATTGGTATTTTCTCACAACACAGAAGACTGTGTACTGACCTGGAAAACACACGCACACACACACACACCAAATGCACAGTCCACAGCTTCTGGGAGCAGATGCTCTCTTTATATCCTCAAATGCATACATTAAGATGGAGATGTACAGGGCTTTGTAGTACAAAGAAATGAAAAAAGGGGAGCAAGGAGCAGGCACATTAACCGGAACACCTGTACATTATAATGCAACCAACTGCAATCACCCCTAGTAAAGTATCACCGTGGCGATTATTATTTTTGCAAATGGCTTGGAGAGATGTTATTCATCTTCAGACCGTAGCTCGATGTGTTTGGAATGTGTTTTATTTTTTATTTGTATTCTTTTGGAAAAATATTACTGGCGTTCACGTTATTGTGTCCACTTCTTCTGCTTCTCTCAGACTGATGCCTTTTGTGCTACTGCTCCTCTATAACTCCTTAGAGTAAGACCCATAGAACAAAAAATACATTAGTTGGATATATATATATATCAATATGTATGTATGTACATAATTTTAAATATATCAAGCATTTCTTGGCAAATAGCACATCTGGCCAGCCAAAACATTTCATATCAAAATATAGTCGGTTTAGACAAGGATTCGGAAATACATTTAATCACACATAAATCGATTTTAATTACAGAATTTTAACTTATGTGACAATACTGTTTCAATTTCAGTTTCAATTATATTTTATCCCCAATATAAATATTTCTATGTACTAAAGAAAAGACAAGAAGGAAGAAAGGAAAAGGCGAACCCAGGATTAAAATGAGATCCAACATCTGTAAAATCCCAAATGCTTCCTTTTTGCCAGATGGTGAGCTCTGGTCTGGGCGTGTCCCAAAAATATACAAGAGTATGAATAATGCATTGGATATGACTTATTTCACAGTGTATCTCTGGATGTTCCTACCCACTCACGCATACAGAAAAACATACACACACAAGCACACGTGTACTCACATATTCACACACGGACAGATGCAAACATGCACCCACACCCTTGCGCCCACGCACACATACACACACACACACAGTATAGATCATTAAAACAAGCCAGGGGTCCACATCTGCTAAATGCTCCCAGTTGTGTGTACAAGATGTTCATTGACAAAAACTACTTTTCTAGTCTATGTTGGCACCACATAAAAAAAACCAAACAACATAAGGTATAAGCTAAGTCATCCAAAATGTCCACATTTCACCATCACGATCTCCATTCAGTGAGCAAAGACAGTCAACTCATCTGTCATCTCTTGTGTGACTTTCATGCTATTTCATAATATCCGTCCCGTTATGTGTATGCAGAGACATTGGCGGCTATGGCCTTGTAAAAATCTCACCCGGCCAAATGAGAAAAAGGTGTTAAAAGCTAGAATCCAACGGACAATATGGCCTGCCTCAACCTCTGTAAAGTCACGACTCGAGCAATGAACTGTCATTAAAGAAACTTGGCTGGAATATAACCTTGGATTGCTTCATGGCGGCGACTGTAAAGAAGATGAAGGGGCTGACTTTTGAAAGGCCTTGTGACAAGTCTAAATCAAGCCACAAAGGTATAAAAAGAATCTTCAAGGAGCTGTCCCCTGCAGATTGGGCAGTGGCAGACAAAAAGACAAAAAAAAAGAAAGGCCTTCAGTGAATTTTCCACTGGTTGTTCTGGGGTTTCTCATAGGGATTTTGTTCCATGATTAGCCCATGAAGTTTGGTGTGATGAACGTTCAATGCTGATGTTGTTACCATGCTGCCCTCGTGGAGTTTTCAGACGTTTCAGGTCTCTCACTGCGGTGACTGGAGATGTTATGGGTTATTTTATCTTTTATTTTTTATTATTGAAGGTCAGAGCCGATGTAAGTTTTGGGAGCCTCATTGGTGAACGGACAAAATATCTTGGGTGTAATGACTGGCCTCGGTTTCTTTAGCAACATAGATGTCAATGAACCTGCAGCAGAAGAAAGAAAGACAAAGACAAACGTGAGACACTAATTGTGAAGTTAGATCGTTTCAGACATGCGCCTTGTTATGCAAATGTGCAGACGATTTTCTGTGTTGTGTAGCCTTTTGAATTTTATGTCAAATTCCAACATTTTCCATGGACCTAATGCTATCACATTAACAGCAGCAGCACAAAGCAACCTTTATTGTCGCTTTTGCCTGCTTGTGAAAAATTAACTTTTACTTTAGTAATCTAAATTAATTAGCAGATCCCTAGTGTAGTAGTTTACACACTTGCCTAACAAGCAAAAGATCCCCGGTTTAATCCCGGGAGGAGACACAAATCCCTTTGGGGTTGTGTCAGTAAGGGCATCCAGTGTAAAAATCTGCCAAATCAAACATGTGGAGCTACCTGCTGTGGTGACCCCTTGCGAATTAAGGGAGCAAGTCAAAAGCAGCTTTAATTAGATTATGGTTCCTGTGCACAGAGGAAAAGAAATAAACACAGTCTTGTTTTTAATCATGTAACAACTAAATTAGCGTTTTCACTTCAGTAAAAAAAGAAAAAGAAAATGTGTCCTGATTTTTTTTTAGGGCATTCACTGCCTAACTGTGAGTATCAGAAACGCCTTTTCTTGGTGTCGCATTTTTGTCAGGGCCAAACTGCAGTCCTCATTATTTTTTTAATCAAAAACAAAACCAGTTTAGTTAACAACAAAAACAGCCAATATACAGATTCAAAGGTGTTAAAGGAAAAAAAACTGCAAGACCAGCACCACCACCCACCCACCGACTTCCCTCCTTCCACTTTAATTTTCATATTTTATCCATGTCAGCTTCAGAAAAACACTTTACATACAGAATATGAGCCAATTATGAATTTAACGAGAGACTCAAATTCAGGTCTTGTCATTCTTTGCCTGTGCATTGTCTGACATTATGAAAACAGGCATCAGGACTCTGCGTTAGGCACACTTCAACATTTGTTTTGTTAATTCCATCAAATAAATGACAAAATTAATGAGGAATGTATTAATAGAACGTCCCTCACACTCAACGGTAACTGATTTATGCTTTGACATCCATCACCATTGTAGCCTGTGAGGGAACAGGAAACACCTCATTTCCTGGATATAGTTACCTATTTTCTTTTCCTTTGAAATCACTATTGCTTCCAGTGAATAAACACAGCACTGGTGTGACTCCACAGTTAATTATGCCACGTCTAAAAGGTAAAAAAAAATCTAATTATATGAGTTATGTGAAGAAATGGGTTCATATGTCATATATTCTTTTCTAGGTGGAATACGTTTCACCTGCGGTGAAATTCTGCAGTTAATGGCTTAATTTAGCCAATCATTTGATCAAAAAAACCATTTGAATGATAATAGAATTCTGCCATGAATATGTTATATGGATGAATCCATAAATGTTAATACATAAATGATTCAGGGTGACAGTGGACAAATGTGACACCCCAGGACTGACCACATAAATCATTCAGACACTTAAATATGAGTTGGCAAATCCACACAGAATTGCACAAATTCCCAGGGCTGGCAGATAAATATTTATGACGCCCCCAATTCCCCCCTTTCTCCCCGTCTTTGGTAATTGTGCGTGATTCATTTTGTTTTCTCAGTGGAAGAAGGAAAATCAATCTTAGAATATTGGCTATGAGACACACGGCATGCAGATTCCAAATGCCTGTTTTGTTTTGGGGTTTTTTTCTGTAGAATATAAAAGGTTCAGATATATTCAGTCAAGTTCTCCGATGAAGATTTCAGTTTAGTCGTTACTTCATTTCCGGAGGGAAGTTTTTGGATGTGAAGTAAACCTGAGTCAGGCTAACTTGCTACCCACTCCAGTTTACTTGCTGACTTTAAAACAAGTGGTACTGATTTAGAGGGATTTAAAGTATAATTCTCTTCTTTCTGTTTTTTGAATCTATTGTGAAATCTTTTGTAGCTTTCCTCTTGGTTACTAAGAACATTCTTCCATGTAGACATGCTTTCGATATATGTCCTGAGAGAAAACTGAACTTGAACTTGAACCTTGAAGTAGCCGCTCCCTTTGATGTAGCCACAGAGGGGCTCTTTACTTTCAGTTCTTATGCATTTCAAAAAACTGCCAATAACTCATTGCATTGTTACATCAAAGTGACTCGGAAATTGTCCCAGACCTGGACCTTTATTCAAGCTCGCCATTGAACACATACCAGGAAAATACACTATGAAATGCATTCGAGGCAGGGCCTCTCTTATTTGCTGCTTCTTTTCAAAGTTAGTATTTGTGCTTTCTACAAGATCCAACAATCAAAACATCCTTGGTTTCTTCAAATGAACTGGAAACAGGGTTATGCACTCAGCATGCAAATTATGCAAAATAGCAGATCATCACAAAACTCATACTTGCTGTTTTTCCTCTGCATCCTACGACGGCTCCTTGGGCAAAGGCTGGAAAAGAAGAAGCAGAAGGTCACTAAGGAAGAGAGGGCCGGCCTTCATTTTATTCAGTTTTCCCTCAGCTTACTGGCCTTAGACGCAGAGCAGCATATGTCCATTTAAAAGCACAGATGGCACATCTTCCAATTATATCTAAGGCGAGACGAAGGAAGCTGAAGGTTATTTTGTTCTCTACCAGATTTTATGACCTCCGAGGACACTGCTTCTCCCCTCAACCAGAAAATACGATCAAGTAATGGCCAACGCATCATCTGCATTAAAGAGCAGAGGACCTCTCTTTTCTTCCATCAGTGGCATCACACTTTTTTTTTCATCACATTAGCTGTGAGGCAGGGTGATAAACAGTGTTCCACTTTATTTCTTTGTGAACGGAACTTCTTGCCGCCCACATTCATCTTAAGGAGGACACGACAACATGCTGTTTTCCCCTCGACCATAGGAGAGATACAGCTTCCTCGCTTTCTTAATATTGGTGAATGAGCCACTTTTGTGCAGATAATGACTCGGCTAATCATAATCAGAAAGCTAATGGTCTGTTTAGCCAATCAGAGGAGCTAAGGCGAGACGGCTGTCTGGGCTGTGCATTGGCATTCCCAGCAGCCGCTGCTTTCCCTTCGGCTGTGCCAGGCTCGCAGCACTAAGGCAGACTTGGTATTCCGCTGCCTGCTCGGCCGGTCCTTCTGTGATCTGTCTCTCTGTCTGTCTGACCAGCCGACTGGCCCCCGCGCTGTCGAAGAAATTCAGTCCTCTGAAGAGGCGCTGATCCATCACACCTCTCCAGCAGCATGTCATCTAAATGCTAAGTACTTCCACTGCATCTTTAAATCAAAACAAGAAAAGAAATGAGCACGGGAGGTGAGCGCTTGGAGGGGATAAAAGCTTATAAGGGCACAATAGAATCTACCAAGCAAACCCTTAGCTTTTTGATTACATTCATTTTCAAAGGAGAGGAAATGTGGGAGGGGAGAAACTGAGTGAATAAGCATGAGAGACCCTGTTATACTTTTAAATGTTCAAGGAATACAGAGAAGGCATGGTTTTTGCCACTAAACAGTCCCTCAAAGAATATAATTTTGTTGTTTTAGTCCACTTCAAACATCATCATATATGTGCCCGAGCCGCTCCCGCAATAAGGACTCCCTCCCGCTCCCCCATCTCCCCGTCTGAGCCCAAGTCTTTGCTATCGATTGGAGCGATTCCTGAAGTCAGGGCAAGTGCTGAGGCGGCAGAAGCGGCCGACACTATTAACTGCTCCTACTAATTAAAAGGGTAACAAGGTGAGTTTGGCCCCGCGGGACAACTGTGCAAGAGACGGAGCCGGCTGTTGGCCCGCCATGCACACCGGTAAACAGTGCTTAGCGCCTATGGTGTTTACAAGACAGAAATCCAAGGACATCGAAGACATATTCATCTCCCGCCGGCACAAGGGATGGGGGAGATTTACAGATAAAGAGTGAGAGAGAGAGAGTATGCGCACTAACAAGCGCTTTGCTAATTGCTTATATTGCGGTGAAATTGAAACATTTGGACCTCGTCTCTGAGCTCGGGGTGCCCTCGTTTCATCATCACTTGTAAACACTGAGCACTGTGCATAAATGATAAAGTTTCCCAGTTCAAATGAGGTGTGCAGCACGGATCTTTGAGAGGGTGCCAGTGGAGACTGGCAACAAAAAAAAAATAATATTAAGGGATTCAATTAACGTCGTTCCTTATCATCAACACAACATATTTTAGGATCAAAGTATTTTTGAGATACAGTATGCCTCGCATTACCCAAAATAAAATAATCAGCCAAGGTAGCATTGCAACTCACAGAAACCTCTGTAGCTGAGACGAAAAGCCACTGCAGGCACAGCAGACGGCTTGTTTGCTCAGTGCTCAAGGGGAAACAATGCAGAGGCTGCATATTTGGTGGCACTTCGAGCTGCAAAATTGTCACCAACAGCACAGCGTGTCATTGTAGAGAGAGGTGCTATGCTGCGCCATCACTGCAGTAAGTAAGAATCTTTCCCTAGGGGTCTCTCCTAACAAGTGGACTCCTGCACAGGACTTAGCTGGGTTCATCAACCGGAGCCTCAGAACGGTCCCAGTCATAACAATTCACTGGAGCTTCTGCTGTTATTAGCCATAGCCAGAGCTTACTGAAGAACCTGGGTGGATGGTTCACACTCACCGTGTGAGCCTGATGTACTGAAGCATCAGAGCATCACACCCAGAGCTGCCTCAGAGGAAAAAACCTGATTAGTTTCCAAGCAGCATGTTCTGTTTGCTGCTTTATTTCTGATGTGCCATCTGCAGAAAAAAACCCCTCTATTTTTCAAATCTTCTAATTAAGTTTTGCTCTTTAAAGCTGGATTTAATGAATTCATACAAAGCAAGCTATAGACACAAAATTGGCATGATCCGGAAGACTTGAACCATGTGCAAGTCTTCTGCAGAGAACACAGATTCATGTATTCACTAAATAAATGAAAACAAATTCAGAATTCATGTTCAGTGCAAAGTAGAACACAAATCAAGCGTATTTTAACAGCCTGTATTGATTTTGATGCTGTAAAGAAATTCATGAGGCCCCCAGAGAAAGATGATAAGACACATTTAAAGTTTCAAATGCTTTGCAAAAAGGCCAGCTGGAATACAAAGTCTTTACCATCAGCTAAAACTTCACTAAGCCATTATATTGTGCTTTATATTAAAGTATTAAATGCAAGACTGAGTACATATACTGGTGAAAAAGTGTCAAAAATAAAAACTATATATTATATAGGTAGATGGTGCTGCATGCATTAATTACAATTAAAAACATATCAACAAATGTACTTGAAAAACAATGTTCTGTGCTACTAAATCAGCATTTGAGTAATTGTATTTGCTTTCTACCACTGGAAACAGGCCTGGGGTTTGTTTTGAGGATGACTACAGCATTTTAAATTAGACAGAAATGTTAGCTTGTAGCCGGGTGCATCATGGGGCTGCAGCACTGAACAATTTATTAAAAATACATACACTAAAGATCCAAAGGGCTCAAAAACATCCTAGCTTTGAAACGGGATGCTGCTGAGCCTGCATGTCCGGTCTACGCGAGAGCTTTTCTGCATCACTGTTACAAAAAAAAACGTGTTGGTGCCCTTTGGCTTTGACAAATTTACACCAGACAAAACTCTGGAGGCAGGCAGAGTGCAGGCTAAAACACAAATGGCAGTTCAAAGCTTGCCAATGACAGAACTTCAAATAGGGGAGCCGGGTACAGTGTGCTGAAAGTGACAGCAGAAGGGACCGCATTCACTCTGGACTGGAAAGAGAAGGGGGCAACATGCGCCTGGCAAAGTCAAACTGACAAAAGAACTCTTTAATAGATAATGGCAGTACCAGAGGAGGCAAAAACAAAAACACAATGTGTTACTTTATTATAGCATGTAAATGAATACCACAGGAAACACTATAAACTGAGAATGTGATCATGAAGCGTCCTGCAGAATTCCTGCACAATAACACAACACCTATGATAACACAAATGGAAAAGGAAATGGAATGGTGGGAATATATTAGCTGTTTCTCTGTTTTCTGAACATCTCTATCAATCTAGCCTATTTCAATACATTTTCGGCATCTCTCCCCATGCTATCTGTTCAAGACTGATGATCATGCCACAGCGTGTGACAAACAGATGAGGAGAAACCAAAGAAGCACATTTTTCTTTTCCACTTGATAAATAGAAGATCTGCAAATGAAACTGAAATAAATAGTATATTTGCTTATCAAGTGTAACCTCTGTGTACTATGCATTTGCTCGGCAGGGGCACCCGAGCGTTCGAACATCAGTCATTTTATAAATGTACATCCAAAGGCAAAGCAGCCCAGCTACAGTGTGTTATCCCCGATGATCCAGAGAGGGCCTGTCAGATACAATATGACAGGAGTACCGTCAATTCACAAGCAGAAATGGGTACGAAAGCCTGGAGGTGGGCCAGTAAAACATAAAAGCTAGACCCCATGCTCTTTTGTCTGATGTATGTATCAAAGAAACAACGGCGGCATGTTCCTGTCATTCGATTATGAGTGAATTAAAAAGAACAGTTTTAGTAAATTACAGATTTCTTGTGGCAGACAGCAGTACTACTACAAAAGCAGTGAAAGTTAAACCCTGTTTCATTCAAGCGAGCACACTAGAATTGATTTCAACAGTTTGTTTTTGCATTATTGTTGGAATTTTACTTGCTGCTGCACAGAAATTAAATAATTTCGGCACTGAATGAGACTGAAAGCCAGCAGAGCAATGAAGGACATGGTGCACAGCATGCATATCTAATATCTGCAAATGTTCCAGGCCTGGTTTTTCAGTGCAGTTTGAAAATGCAAACATTTTTCTAATGACAACCAGTTTTGATTTTCTGAATCATTATTTTCTTTCTGTAATATACCCGAGACCATTTCCTCTTATTGGAAGAACATTTTACTGTATGTTTCCTTCTGAGCCTTTGGCACAAGCAGTTGCTATTAAAAAAATAACCTACTTTACTTCTCTTATTATGCATTTTATTTGGGCTAAACTAATGCTGCTGGTCACAGTGCTACAGCACCTAATCAAAGAGATTCCATCATCACAACCACCTTTATCTAAAGATGGTGCCCCACTGAGAGTGAGTCGGTTTGAAGAGATTCCAGAGGCGACAAAGAAGAAAACAAAAAAGAAATAATTTACATATCCTAAAAAAATACAATGAAATCATATAAAATACAAGTGCAAAGTTATATGCTAATGAAACTGCAAGTAAAACTAAACCAACACTGAAGGACCTCTTGAAATAGAGCTTTTATTCTCAGTAGGGCTAGTTGTTTTGATAAAGATTTAGCAACTAAAGCGATTATAAAGAGTTCTCATAAAAATGTAATTACATGTACAGATGAAAGACAGGCGGCTAATGTGAGCCTTCAGCACAGCAGCCAGCTCTGCTGCATTTACTTTACTTTTGAAAACGACTTTACCGAGT